GAATGTTTGTTATTTGCATGAGTAGATCGACCAACACCACGACAAAAACGTCGTGGAAAAAAGCTGAAAAAAATTATTTCTTTATTCCATCCCAATGTCGAACACAGCTAAAAGAATACAGAAATTGAAAATTTAGCTTAAATACATACAACTCAACTCCATCTGAATCAAAACTCTAAATCCAACATAAACAAAAGAGTGGCATTGTAAGAAACCAAAAAGAAAACAGAGAAACAAAATTCAATACCTTCGAAGCCAATTGAGAAAAACTTCCAACAAATCAATTTTGAAATTCAAAAGCGAATCAGAAGCAAGGATGCCAAGCTAAAAATTCAAAAAACTTTTTAGTCAATTATCAAAAAGATAAAAAGAGTCGATTGAGAAAAACTCCCAACAAATCCATTTTGAAATTCAAAAGCAAAAAGCAAGAGCTAAAAATTCAAAGAGCTTTTTAATTAATTATTAGAGAGATAAAAAGAGCCCCGATATCTCTCTCTCAATCAATGCCTTTTGAATGGGTTAACGGTTAAACTTAACGGTTTGTCACGACATGATCTATTTTGAGTTACGAAATGAAACGTTAGACACTAAATTAAAAAAAATATTAAATTTTGAACTAAAAAAACGAACATACATTAAACACATTTTATATATTTAAACTTTAGGAAATATCACCCTAACATTTCCTTTTTTTCTCTCTCCATTTTTTTAATAATTTGCCGTTTGATTTTGCTTAAACGTTGCCATGCGTACACTTGAAATTTCTTTGTTTTTCTCTCTACTTTCCACCATTTTGTTTTGAGGGAAGTGAACAGAAAAGAATTCTTTTTCTTCATGGTTAGATAATTTGGTAATACCAACAGTGGAAAAGTACTGATTCCCAAAGATTTGTGGGGTGTATAACCAATTAATTAACAAAATGACAGCAACTATATACTGCAAACACGTGTTCCAGTTTTATCTATTAATGACACTTTATTACCTCATCTCCCCAGTGGCTACAAAGGGTTGGCTTTGCATTGATAAAAGTGTGGAAAAGATGTCTTCTTCCTTTGAATACATTCTCGCCAATCTCCATTGCCTTTTGACTTTGCTTTTCCTTCGATCATCAAAGTGAATTCTTCAATCACACCTTCCATCTCCTTCACCTCCTTTTTTTTCCAAGTAAACACGGCGTTTAGACCGTCTTCATCTGCCTTCTCATTTGTAAAATTGATGTCAACATTTACGGTAGTTTATGCTGTGCGAGGTTAACTTAAAAGTTAATTTGTGACTTATTTTAATTTATAATATTATTTGTTTAAACTTAATAATTCTAGTTACAATAAGAATGTTATGTTGCAATCGGTTTTAATCTAAAAAAAAATACTTTTTTACTCTAAAAAATTATACAATTTATAATAATTTCGGTTAAAAAAAACGTATCGACGATATCTTTTGGTAACTAAAATAGTTTTTCAATTTACATTAATTTTGTACTTCAATAAAAGAATGGAATTTATATTAAGACTGACAAAAATTAAACTCCCCTGCATGTTTCTAGGGGAATTCATGTCCTTGCTTTGAAAGCCCTGGTTTCTAAACCAGGCAGATAAAAATAACAATAGAAGAAGGTCGGACTCATGCATGGACACAGGTATAATATGTATGTACATTGGTCCTTGCAGGCCAATTTCATGATCAAATTAAAACTTTTAGATGACCAGAGTGCATTGGGAGAGTGTGGGTGGCTTGGCCTTGTTAAGAAACAAATTGGTCCACCGCCTATTTCCTCGGCATTGGGCAGGCTACGGCGTCTCATCCGTCACCAAAACTGGAACACGGGCAAATGGAGGTGTCCAAAATGAGACAAGTTCATAAGCAAATGATAAAGGGGGGGGGGGATATTATGATCTTAATAGCTTACCAATAAAGTCCTCTTCTTCTTCTTCCTTTTTTCGATATATTCCACGAGCTCCTGCTGCTGAGCAACTGAGTCCTCTGGAGCCTGAAAGTGAAAGGAAATGACAATCACCTTTTAAGTCCATGAAACATTGAGGCACTAAAGATTGAGCTTTGTAGTTTCTTATCCCTCTTTTGTATATGACTCACACTCAGGTACGAGTGTTTGACATAAGTGATAAAATTTTCAAGATTTCCATGCATATATATATTTTTTTTACTAGTTAGATTTCCATGTATTTGAATGGTCCTTGAAGGACTAAATCCCAAACCCATGTCCAAATATGTGTTGAATTATAGTACTTCAAGAGAAAAGAAGAGTCGAAGCAATATAGATACGTGTCATTTTAGCCTGTGCTAATATGATAGTCAATTGTATGACTGGTAAATAATTTCATCAAAAAATAGCAACAGTTACCTTCTTGGTTTCCATAAGCTCTTGTTCCAAGTCATCAGCCCGGCTTAGTGCAGAAATCAACATTTCTTCCTTCTCTGGGGGCATTGTTGTAGATTGCATGTTGATAGCAGCTAGTCTTGCTTCCAACTCGGCCATGCGTTTCATGACCGCTTCCAACTCATTAGGACTGATGCTTGGTTGGGGTGCCTGGACTGGAATTTCCTTGATCTTAACCCCTGTGTTAGGAACCAGAAGTGGAGGCTTGTCGCTGGTCTTTATCGGCATGTTGCGTGTCACTTTCACCATGGTGGCGACTCCCATAACAAAGGTCATCACACCATTGAAAAGAGGAGAGCTAACCACGTCAAGGTTCTTGTGACTTTCTTGCTTGGTAAAAGAATCTGTAATTTCCACAACAAACCTTAGCACCTGCTATAGTTTAGAATCCTAATACGTTACCTTAGACACTTATGACACAAAGAAAATAACAAACGCGACATTGACGCACGATCAAGGAACATGCAGAGTAAATCACAATATTAGTAAGCCATGTACCTTTCGGTAGAGGAACAAAATTTTCATTTAGTTCTCTTTTCTGCAAAGCCAAATCTATAGGTTCTTTAACCACTGGAACAATTTCCATTGATGCCTTTGGGACCTGGGAATTTCAGAAGAAACTATGTTGATAGACATTGCATCCTATAAGGCTTCTATAGTTTTCACAACTTATATCACATTTTAGGTCCTGAAATCTCCTAATAATTAACAGTATTCAGAAAGAAGGCAGCTAAACTTACAATATCCAGTACAGGAGCGGATTCCGGATGCTCAACTTGATTCTTTGATTGTTTATCTGTAGCATCTGCAACTGGCTCAGCATCGGCGGGATCACTAGCCTGTGTCGCCTGTGAAACAAACTACTTCGTTGAAAAATGAAGTGCCAGAGTAACATAGGTCATCGATATAGAGGGAATAAGAGCGAGCTAGGTGCATGTTGATAGAGAAAGTAGAACCTCCATGATCACAATTTTATCCTCCGAAGTTGTTTTCTCGTCAGTGCTTTCAGCCTGCGATTGCTTTGAGCCTTTATGAGCACCACTTTGAACCATCTGCTAGACGAAAAAATTGTTTAGGAGTGCCTAGAATCCTGATTACAAACCATACTAGATAATCAATATGACTGCAACTGATAAAAAAGAAATAAAAACGACTGGCTCACCTTCATGATCTCTGGGTCCTTCCATGGACTCTTGTCGGAAAGCATGCAACCTCCTTGATCGGCAAAGTGCAAGTGCCTCCCAAAAATTCGGGCAATTCACTGATATAGAGCACCAACAAGAAAAAAATATATATGTAGATATATATATGAGAAGAAAAGAAGTAACACCAGTGATTTGTTTCAACATCATGAAAAATAAACAAAATTTAGATAATCTCACGGGAATATACCCTTCATCAATTATTTCAAGCAACTTGCTCTGAAATTTGTTGCCAATAACCTGGTATGTAATCGGTTTCACCAATTAGTTTCTTATCGGTTAAATTTTGCAAATTCAAGTGTGAGGAAGCCAATGTAATATGTATCCTTACATTGATCTTGGCTGTGGTCTTAGGATCAAGGAAAGACTTGACAGAGTTCCACAACATTCTAAATCCGGAACCTGCATTGATGATGAACATGCGGTTCAACTTCTGCAGAAAAGCAACAACATTGCACATCACCAATTCCATCATTTAATGTATAAAAGTCTCTACTAAATCGAAACCTTGGCTATTATGCATGAATAATGTTAAGGAAATCAGTACCTCTGGATAATTATCACCGTCAATCTTCTGAAGACTACCTACAAGGTCCCTTGCAGCTTTGGTGAAGCTCTTAAGACCCTGTGTCATTAACTCGAAACTAAGACAGAAGGCATTCTTACGCATGATTAAATTTTTCCTTCTGTCTTTGTGAAAATAACTGAGTTGGACGATTAGAGTTTGAAATGAGATTTCCTTTTCGTACAAAGAAGGTCAAAGAGGATGACTAGAAGAACCAGCAGGATTAAGTCCGGAATTGTTAAACCGAGTATTGAATTTGTTGTATCGTAGATATAGTGATTATTGAATCTCACTTACCACTCCATTCACATCCAAGATGGTTGTGCTTTGATCAATATGCTTCTTGGCTGCAATTGAGCAAGCTGGAAACTTCATTTGGAAGGTCTTTTCAAACTCCCTTACATGGTATTTGAGATAGTGGTCCATTGTCGTCACTTGCATGAGCTTGCCAACATCTACCATGCCTAGTCTTTCTATATAAACTGGTAGTCCATCCATATCGACCCCATGGTACCCTTGGGGATAATATTTCAACACTTCTGAATGCTCCTTGAAGTCGAAGTCCTAAAGGGAATGGGAGACTGGGAGTCATCTTCCTGAGCTTTTTTAGAAATGCCATATTTGACAGGAACGTTCATAGAAGAATCTTATGTTTTGTCAGAAGAATACCTCAATAATTGTGTTGGTACCAAATTCCTGCCTCCATTGGAGCATGTTAATCCACATTTCCTTTGATTTCTCGAGGTCAAATCATCTGGCCTTCAAGAACCTGCATTATAGAGAGGTCGGTATTGAAACTTAAATATAATATAGTTGGACATCTTATTATCTGAAATCTTGCGGATAAATGGCCACATAAATCAGACTGTGCATTGCTTCTCAAATCCTTCTTGAACTTACATTCTACAATTGGATTCACATGCAAACCCATTAATCATCCTGCTAACACCCGAATACACAATGAAACTTAAAGTCTTATAACATATGAGTGTATTTCTGTACAACAAAATAGATGAGCCTATGTTGTACAAACTTTGTACGAAAGGGTATGCTCGATTTTCAAATAAAAAAAATCATATATTTAGAAGATTATACCTTCGTATTCATTTCCCAATATGTCAGACATGAGTACTTCTAATGGAAATGAAGAGACCGGATAGATAGTAACCTGAGCATCGTATGATAATCGTCATGTCTTGCAGGTAGCTTGTCCTCCGATAAAAGTGCCTGGCGAAAGGCATCAACAGACTCCACCTCCTCCGGACTACGCTCATCATCAATTTCAATAGACATTGCTTTACTGCTCCTCCTACCTCTCTTTGACATCGAATTCCTGAGTTTATTGGATGCACTCCTTGTCGTCTTCTTTGCTGACCCGTCCGCATCTGATACAATGGACTAATTATTGACATTGAAATAAATATATACTAACAGAAACCAGTCCAAGCATTCTCATCTACTAGTATTAAGTTTTGGCTTCCGAGTGATCATCATTAACAAAACAACAACTAAATAATTTATCACCAGAATACCATTATTGTTACGCCACAACAAACGACCATAATCAACATTCAACAGCAGATAAGGGTACCAAATCAATACAGAAAAAGGAAAAAAGAAATGTACAATGAGATTAACAAGACAGATAAAAAGGGCTCTCATTTATGTCCTACTCCCATACGGCCATACCTATAAACATGTTAATAGACAATCTAAGCGTGCATGAAAATCAAACAAAGAGAAAAGGTTTAGAATAAGAAAACCTTGGGTCTCAGCCATGATTTGAAGCTAATAAGGAATTTTTGCAGACAGAGAAACAGTAAAGGGGAGAAGAATCAAGCAGTCGTCGACCTCCCCTGGACTCAAATCTCTGCAAATACGATATTAAATATCACTAACCAACAGCATTAAAACATGTAAGAAACTTAAAACCCAAATCTCTAGCTTTCGTGTTCGAATTGGTTTTTTTAACTTTTGAAACACATGCATAATCTTTTTTTTTTCATTACAGATTTGAAATCTGAGCTAAATGCAAGGCCTCTCCATTCAAAAAATGTTGGGAGTCGGGGAATTCATCTCGGACCAAACGGTCTTTTCGTCTTTTCGTGGGCAAATTCATACTACATTGCCTTTGAATTCGTTGGGTTGGAGATGTGCAAGGAGATTGCCTTGCTCCAGAAAAACACTCAACTTTCTTGTCCGAACTCGACCAGTACCTCGTTCCACTGCTGAAAAATAGGTACAATGACGGTTTGCGTCTTCTATTCTTGACTCTTGTTTTTCTAGCTAAATTTTATCATCAACCATTCTTGTTTTAATCAAATTGATGTGATCTTAGTGCAAATGATCATTAAGGTATTAAGTTTTTCATAGAATTTGTATAACAATTTATATGTTTTGAATTACTGATGTAATACAGTGTTACGTTAATAAATTATTTTAAAATATTTTGAAAATTTAATTTATGGGTGAACTACTGAGTTGGTCAATTTTCTTTCATATTTGTATACTTTTACTCACTAAATTTAAAAAATTTAATCTGACACCATTAGCCATCATGATAAATTTCATAATCTTTTGTAATCAAAAAAATTTAAGTTTTGATTACTTACATTATTGATAAACTTTGGTTACTTATGCTATCGATTATTTCCTTTTAATCACATAGTCATTAAATCTAATTAGTTTGATGATATGACACATTAATTAAAATTGATTAATTTTTAATTTTACCCCTAAACATTAGATAGAATACTAGTTAAACCTTAAACTTTAGATAAAATATCATTTTGATCATTAAATTTTGGATAAACTACAGAGTTTGCCACTTTTGTTTCTGTTTTATGGTCACTAGATTCAAAGAACTTAATTCGTAGTCACTTTCATTTCGTTTTAATTAAGATGTGGTCAATTTCATTTTAATTAAGATGTGGTCAATTTCGTTTTATTTTAATTAAGATTTGGTCACTTCCCTTAAACGGTCGTTGAAAGTTCAATGATTTCATGACGTGACATGTTAATAAAATACTTTAACTTTTGTTTTAACTCCTGAACTTTAGATAAAATTTAACGTAGACTTTTTTGTAAATCTAATATGGTTTAGGGACAAATTTTCAATTTACCATTTTTAATAGTTTAGTTGAAGAAATTTTTCCAAAGGATCATGATGCATCATCTCCAGTTCCAAATGGATTTGAAAAGTCCCCTGATGCAAAGGGGGATTCTGCGCCTTCAGAGGGATTCTGCGCCTTCAGAGGCCGAGTTACAATTTTACTTAACAGACGAAAAGGGAATAAAGGAATCCCCGATACTTATGTGTGAAGCGATACCAGTTGCGGGAGTGTCCCAGAGATTACATGTGGGCGCATCCTGGCAAGAAAAATACGTTAAAATGTCTTAAACACAGCTTTTTAGCACTTCACCGCAGATCATTAAGTCCTGCGCTTTTTTTTTTTTTTGAGAAAATCGCCTCAGTGACCAAAAATGCCTTATAATATACGATTTTAACCAATTTTTTTTGGATTTGCCAAAATGACCAACAAAATCGCAACGCGAAATAAAAATCGCAACGCGATCCCCAGAATCGCAAATCAGTTTCCAAAATCGCAACGCGATTCTTAAAAATCGCAATGCGATAGTACAAATTCGCATTGCGATTTTCCAAAATCGCAACGCGAATATGAAAATCGCAACGCGAACACATAAATCGCAACGCGTATCCGTAAATCGCAACGTGTATCCGTAAATCGCAACGCGTATGGGTAAATCGCAATGTGTATCCGTATATCGCAACGCGTATCCGTAAATCGCAACGATAATCCGTAAATCGCAACGAGAATCTGTAAATCGCAACGATAATCCGTAAATCGCAACGAGAATCTGTAAATCACAACACTGAAATTTTGGGTATATAACACTGAAATCATAAACTAAATCCCTAAATCGCAACTCATTCCATCTCCATCTATCACTCTCTCCGGCGACATCCGTTCCTATATCCAACGACATCCTTTCCAATCCGGCAACATGTTTTAGTTTCGCAGCTCGTCTGTTTAGTAAATTAATTTACAACCATGAAATCATCTAATGTTGATCATGTTTGGATAGATTTGTGTTTTGGAGGGTCATGGGATAATGTTCATGGTGTTTTACAATATGCCTTTACCCATGAATCTTCAACTAAAATTGTCTTTACAAAAGTTAACTTATGAAACTCTAATGCTACGTGTTTCAAATAAATTGAATTTAGAGCCCCTAAGTGGATTTAGGCTATCTTATCAGAGAAATGGTAAAGTTTATTTGTTAACCGACAATGAAGATGTTGAACGATTCATTGCTTACATTAGTGTTTCACAAGATGATGTTACATTGTATGTTGTTGAACCTAGAAGTAGTATTGTTGGGTCAGTAGCGGGTAGTAATCAACTAAGTTTTTCTCAAAACCCACAACCTTTCTCTAATCCAAATCCCAATCAACTTTCAGCAAAATTCCGGTTTTCGTATTGACCAGTTAGACGATGATGAGCCAACAGAAAAAATTGTGAGTACTAGTCAGTATTCGAAATTTGGTCTTGGTCAATATCCGGACTTTGATATTGGTCAATACACGGATTTTGATGATGTTTCAGAAGAAGAAACAGACCCTGCGTGTAATGATTTTGATATTGGTCAATACCCGAATTTTGATGATGAAACAGCCGTTGCCGAAGAATGTATTGTTGATGATAATGAGGAGGAAGTTACGACTGTGAATGAACATGTTGAACATCCATTCTGTAATTCATATAATCCTGAAGAAGAAAAAGAAGAAGAAAAAGTCCCCGAAGAAAAGAAAATGCCACGGGCGTATAACTGGAATATGCCAGAATTACTTCAGATACCGGAAGAAGAGTTGATAAAGAAAGCAGTTGATTGTTACACAAAAGTTATTCGTATCAAGAAAGATGATTGTTTTGATACAAAGGAAGACTTGAAGATAGCTTTGTATACGAAATGTGTGGAAGATGGCTATCAACTAAAAGTTAACAAATCAAGCAAAGATCGTTTCGAAACAAGGTGTATGATTGACAAAAACTGTACGTGGCGTATGATTGCAAAGAGAATAAAAGATTGCAAAATGTTTCAAGTTAGGACTTTTATTGATAAACATACATGTTCAAGAACCCAAGTTTTTCCTCACCATAGACAGGCAAACAAAAAGGTGTTGGGTGGTTTTCTGGCTGAGTTAATGTTTTTGAATGGCAGGGTATATCGGGGACATGAAATTATGACTGACATGAATGCTCGGTTCAAGATTAGTATATCATATTCTCAAGCTTGGAGAGCCAAATGTTATGCCTTGGAATTGTTGAGGGGGTCGCCAGAAGCATCGTTTGCCCAACTGCCGGCTTATTGTCACAATTTAAAGCTGAAAAATCCTGGGTCGGTAACTCATATCAAAACAGATAGAGATGGACGCTTTGAGTTGCTGTTTATCGCCATTGGTGCTACGGTTAGTAAATCAATATAATTTTGTTGACTCATTTTTGTTAGTTACATGCATTTCACATTTAAATGATTATATTTCTTGTGTATATTATTTTGTAGATTCGTTCGTTTATTACTTGCATGCGCCCAGTTATTATAGTTGACGGAGCACATTTGAAAGGTCGATACCTTGGAGTAACTTATTAGCAGTAGCCATGGATGCTAACAATGGGATATTGCCAATAGCTTACGGGGTTGGCAAATCTGAAACCTCTGATTCATGGACATGGTTTATGGGGCATCTTAGGGATTGCATAGGTCCTATTAGCAATCTGACAATCATATCCGATAGGGCAAACTCAATTGACAACGCTGTTAGAAGGTGTTTCCCAGATGCTTTTCATGGACTTTGTGGTGTTCATTTGTATAGAAATCTAAAATCAAGGTCTGCTGGTATAAAAAAGCACAAATGGACATACTGGAAGGCTGTAAAAGCTTATCGGGAAGTGGATTTCAATAAGCATAAATTGTTTAAGACGTGTTTTGCCTCAGTGTGCTCAAACAGTAGAAGATGTCGGGCTTGAAAGATGGTCAAGAGTACATCAACTTGGAGCAAGATATGGTTTCATGACGTCTAATAGTGCAGAATCAATCAACGCATTAAGTCGTCATTCCCGGAAATTACCCATTACTATGTTAATGGAGTTTTTTCGAGCCTCTATTCAACAGTGGTACTACAAAAAGAAACCATGCAGGTATTATTTCTTTGAATTCGTAACTTATCATATTTATATATTTTACTAAGTATTGTTTATTTAAATTTACAGGAACATTGGAACATCGTGTTACACCATGGACTGAAAAAAAGATAACGAAACGTGTTGTGAAGTCAACGTCATGGAGAGTTGAACCATGTTCAAACACTTTGTTTCAAGTACTGGATAATAACTTAAATGGGCTAGTCGATCTAAATGCAAAGACGTGTAGTTGTATGAAATGGCAAACATCTGGTTATCCGTGTGGCCATGTTATAAAAGTTGCTCTTCATTTAAACCAAGATGATTCAAGCGCATACGCTATGGATTGCTACACTACAGAAGTTTATCGACAGACTTATGCCGAGATTGTCTACCCTATTCCACATCCTTCTGAGTGGGACATACCAGATGACTTACAAACAGTTTTGCCACCAGCCATGGACAGAAGGCTACCTGGCCGACCAAAAAGTCACGATCGTATACCGTCTAAGGGTGAAGAGAAGAAGAGATCGACATGTAGTCGGTGCAAGGAAAGTGGTCATACAAGGTTGACATGTGGATCACCAGTGCCATCAAAATCATCTTTTCCTCTACCAAAATATGGATCCTCATCAAAATCCAAAG